GAACCTGCTGCTGCAGCTCCTGGCGGACAAGCTCAGCGCCGCGGCCGGGCTAGGGCCCGCGTCTGCCCGGCGCCCCGCTTCGCCGCCGCCGGTAGGGAGCCGGCCGCAGCGCCTCCTCCCCACACCCCTCTGTTCTAAGGGAAACCGAAACCCAGTCTGCACCTCGATGTGGTGGCGCACTCTGGGGGACTGAAGCAGGAGTGGTGCAGGGAGAGACACTCTCCCCCTGCTAGATATCAGAGAGGATATCTCTTGTTTTCTAAAACCGAAGAGTGAATTTTGGGAACAATGGAGGTTAAGAGAAGAATATATTTATTGGGAGAAAGAAAGCTTCTGTCCAAGAGTGAGAGACAGAAGGGGACCTGAGTGGGTTGCCAAGGAACCTGCCTTTTCTAGAGGATTTTTGTTGTTATTTTGTTTTTTATTTTGAGACAGGGTCTCGCTATGCAGTTTAGGCTGCCCTTGAGCTCACTTTGTAGCCCAGGCTGGTCTCGAAGTCGCAACGATCCTCCTGCCTCAGCCTCCCGAGTGCTGAGATTACAGGCATTCGCCACCACGCCCAGCTGTTTTTCTAGGGATTTTTATAGAGCGAATCCACGACACGAGACGGATCCGAGGTGGGAAACGTGGGAACTTGCAAGGTGGGCATGAGGTGGGACAAAACTATGGTCAAGCAATAGGATTACAAGCGTAACTGCCCGGGTCAGACTGATTAAATGGGGATCAAATGGAGAAGCCGGTCACATGGCATGAGGCAGGAATACACAACAGGGGCTTTTCCTGAAGGGGGTTGAGTTAGGGCTCTTCCTGGCTTTCTCAAGGTGACAGAGACCTATTTAGAATACCAATCCCTGTTCATCCTTAGGAGATAAGCGGGTGCATTTGTTTTATCTTTCGTCTTGAGGTCTGGCCCACCGCTGGAGGTGTCTCTCTCCCACAGTGGCCAGGCATCTCATCTTTCACACGGGCTCCTTGGAGGGCTTCTGCCTATAATATTTTCGCCTAACTCAGTTACCTATAACAGGAGGATTGCAAATTACAGCCCAACGTGGGGTGAGACCCTGTCTCAGAAAGCAAGAAAAGAGCTGGGGATGGTGGGTAGCTCCTTGCAAAGGCGGTGAGTTCCAATCCTCAGTACAATAAATAAATCACGTACTCAGGAGGCTGAGACAGGAGGGTCAAAATTTCGAGCCCAGTCTCGGCTACATAATGAGATCCTTTCTCAAAAGAAGGCTGTGGATATAGCTGAGTGGACTTCTTTACACTTTTCTAACATTTCCAAAGATTTGAGCGCCGTTGCAGGCAACAGACCTCCTTTTTTTTTGTTTTTTTTCTGGTACCAGGAATCGAACTCACGACCTTGCGCTTGCCAGGCAGGCTCTGCCGCTGAGCTAAATTCCCAGCCCCCAATAGACCCCTGTTTAATGCATTTATCCTTCAATGAATATTTCAGTTTTCACCGTTTCCAACAGAGTCTGTATTTTTCCTTCTTTCCTTCTCTCCTTTCTCTCCCTCTCTCCCTCCCTCCCTTCCTCCATCTCTCTCTGTCTCTCTCTGTCTCTCTTTGTCTCTCTCTCTCCCCCTCCCTCCCTCCCTCTCCAGAACTGTTTCCCAGGTTAATTAGATGTGTGAGGGGCTGGGGATTTAGCTCAGGGGCACAGCGCCTGCCTGGCAAGCGCAAGGTCTTGAGTTCGATTCCCGGTACCGGGGAAAAAAAAAGAAACAAGCAAAAAAGTGTGATTTATGGAGGAACTATCAACCTATTTCCCAGGTTGGCTGCACCTTTGTACATTTCCCCCATCAATGGCCCACTGGTTTCGATATTCCTCCACCCTGGTCACGTGTGCTTGTTGTTTCAGAGTGTTCTGTTTGTAGTGCAGCCCTGGCACCTTGGTACAGGTGTGAGGTGGTACCCAGTTTTGAATTGCATTTCTCCCGTGACCAATGATGTTGAGTGTCTTTTCCTGCACTTACAGACCATTCATTTATCTTCTTCGGAGTAATATCAAGTCAGGTCCTTTGCCCATTTTAAAAAATGTACATATTTACGGTACTGGGGATTAAACCCAGGGCCTTCACATTGAGCTACATCCCCAGCCTTTTTTTTTTCCCCTTTTCCCCTCAAGATAGGGTCTTGCTAAATTGGTAGATTGCCCAGGTTGAAATTGAACTTGTGATCCTCCTGTCTCAGCCTCCCATAGTGCTGAGATTACAATCATGGGCCACCGCAGCCAGCTTGGGGGACACTTCAGATCCAGATCATAGCCTCAGCTTTGCTCTTTTCAAGGTGACAGCGCAGAAGAGCGTCACGGAGGTTGTCCAAGAGCTGACAGCGCTGGTGGAAAAGCTGGTAGACATTACCAAGAACGTCCAGAGGCAGGGACCCCTCTTAGGATCCCGACCGGACAAAGAAGTAAGTGGCCTCTCGGGACGAGGCAGAGATGGGGGTGGGTGGCGCTGGCTGGGCAGCTCTCACTAGGGCAGTGTGAGGGTGTTTGAAGCTGAAGGACGCTGTGAGTCTGTCTTTTACTACCAAAGGTGCTTGGAAGCTCACCGCCTTGAAGGTGAGTTACAGACGCCTCGGGAGTGACCTGCCCTCTCCAGCAACCCCTCCCCATGCTCTGCTGTGATCATCGCTGGATTAATCCGCGCGCGCGCACACACACACGGCAGCCCATGACCCAGTCACCTATCCAGGACTCTTTTAATCCAAATTAACAACTAAGATTAACTGGCACAGTGCACAAATATAGCTCCAGGCTTGCTCTCTCTCTCTCTCTCTCTCTCTCTCTCTCTCCCCCTCCCTCTCTCTCTCTCCCTCTCCCCCTCCCTCTCTCTCTCTCCCTCTCTGTCACACACACACACACACACACACACACACACACACACCCCTGCTCCCTGTACTGGGGATTGCAACCAGACCTTCACCCCAAGCTACCTCCCCTGCCTTCTTTAATTTTTTATTTTGAGACAGCTTCACAGCCAGGACACTCGCTTGTAATCCCAGCACTCGGGAGGCTGAAGTAGGAGGACCATTGTGAATATGAGGCCAGCCTAAACTACATAGTGAGACCCTGTCTGAAAAAAGAAAAACATCAGTTTCACTAAGTCACTGATTGGTGCAGGCTGGGCTCGAACTTGGGATCCTCCTGCCTCAGCCTCCCAGAGTGCCGGGATTGCAGGCATGCACTCAGGCTGGAAACATCTTGAGCTCTAGACTACCTTCTTTCTTCTTGCATATCTCAAAAACACGTGTCACTTAATGCACCCCCAAACTTCTCTTCCTCTGGGGTTCCTCATCTCAGTACAGTACTGGCCCTGTTGTCCTTCCAAGTGCACAAACCAGCCGGGTGTGGTGGCACACACCTGTAATCCCAACTCTCGGGAGGCTGAGGCAGGAAGATCATTGCGAGTGTAAGGCCAGCCTGTGCTACAAAGTGAGCTCAAGGCCAGCCTGAACTGCATAGGGAGACCCGGCCTCAAAAAAGACAGCAAACAAACAAACAAACAAGTGCACAGACCAGAGACCTGAGAGTCCTGCTGCCTCCTCCTTCACTCCTCTAGCAGAGAGCACATGGGAGCTCCACGGCCTGCCGAGATATCATCCAATCTTCTGTCACTCTGGAGGTGCTGTGAGACTCCTCTATCACAGGCCTGTACATGCACCGCTCCACCTGTGCCAGTGTGTTCCCCACGGGGTCACCTGGGCGACCTTCTCAGACGCAAATCTGATCCTGTAACTCATCTGCTACCAGCACCCCGAGGACAGCCCTGTGCGTCAGCGCTGTTACTATCGGCGGTCAGCTCACAGAAAAGGTTCCCAGGATCTAGTCCCGCTCAGGTGGATGCATTGCTCTTCGGCCTGCGATAGTGGAGCAAAACCGCTTGCCTCATGGCCAGGGGCCAGAAGAGAAAAAGCGGAGGGACTGGGGCCCCACGGGCCTCTTCAGGGCAGGCTCCCCATGACCTAAAGATGCCCCTCTCGGAGGTTCTGCAGACCCCCAGTGGTGGCACCTGGGATGGAGGCTTTTACACACGGACCTCATTTAGAGCCACACTCCGCAGTGTCTGTGCCTTTAGGGTTAAGATCCAAACCTGGCGGCGCCAGCCGTGTCGACCACACCGACCCGCCCATGGATCTTATTCCTTGTCCCTGCCACGGTAATATCCACTCCTCTTTCATATCCTAGCTGCGGCATCCCTTCCTGGGAGAGAAGAGATCACTGGTGTCCTTGAAAAATCCAATGCCCCTGCTAGAGGCTCTTAGGGTTTAATGAATCTTTTCAGTGGTGGCAGTTCCTCATCTTTTTGAGAAAGGGTCTCGCTATGCAGTTCAGGCTGGCCTTGAGCTCACTTTGTAGCCCAGGCTGGTCTCGAACTTGCCATGATCCTCCTGCCTCAGCCTCCTGAGTGCCGGGATTACAGGCGTGCACCACCAAGCCCGGTTTGATTTTCTTTTTTTTTTTTTTAGAGTCTCTTACTTAGTTCAGGCTGGCCTTGAACTTACAGCAGTCCTCCTGCCTCAACCTCCTGAGTGTTAGGATTACCAGTGCCTACCACCACACCAAGCTGTTTCATTTTATTTTGTTGTGTTTGTTTTTTGACTGTTTTATAAAGCCTTTTTAATAGGCCTAAGATATTTTAAAAAATAGTTATTACCTAATAAATCCATGTATTGTACACATGAAAGGAGGAGCTTGAAAAGTATTAGAACATATGTAACATTTGAAATAGAAAAAATTAGGCTAGGGAAGTGGTTTTGCCATAGAGCATATGTTTAAAATGCACGCTATCCTCGGTTTGATCCCCAGCAGCATACACACACACAAATTTTAAAAAAGAGAAAGAGAAAGAAAGTAAATTCAATGAAAACCTCTGCCACCCCCATTTGGCGCTGGTTTTCCTCAGTGATGTCCAGGACAGAACATGCGTGGCCCGTGTAGCACCACTGGGCTCTGCGCCTGGACCCAGTGTTGATGACCTGGTTTTGTTTTTTAAAATGTTCCCGGGATTAAATGGGAAGTTACAGGTGAGTGTTGGAAGTTGGATGTATTTGCTAGGTTCCGGGGGTGGCTTTCGTTTGTTTGTAATGTGTGGCTCCTCCATAGACTTCGTCCTCTGGGCAGGAGGTTTCCCTGGCGTCTCCAACACGAGTGACAGCCAGAACATCTGAGGAGGAATTGAGGGAGATTCTCTGTGCCCTTGAAGAGATTCAAGAAAAATTACGAGGACAACTGTCATGGAAAGAGGCCCCGAAAGAGCAAACACAGGGTGAGCCAATTTGCTTAAGGAGAAGTAACTGTGGAAGTTGAGTGGAAATGACACAGTTCTTTGGGGACAGGGCCCCCGAGTCTGGTTCCTGACTCCCAAGTGCTGGGATTACAAGCGTGTACCACCACATCCAGCTTTAATCCATGTATTGTATGTATTTAATCCTGGTTCCTACTTGATTATAAATCAAGTAGGAGTGGGCTGAGGTTTGTCTGTGGCTGGATCAGTTTGTTTGTTTGTTTTCTGGTGCTGGGAATCAAACTCAGGACCTTGTGCTTACCAGGCAGCTGCTGTATTGCTGTGCTATATCCCCAGCCCCTTGTTTTGTGTTTTGAGACAAGGTCTTGCTTTGTAATTCAGGCTGGCCTTGAACTCACTATGTAACCCAGGCTGGATTTGAACTCTCAGTGATTCTCCTGCCTCAGCCTCCCAAGTGCTGTAATCAGAGGTGTGCACCACTACACTCAGCCTGGCTACTTTAAAAACAAAAACAAAAGTTGCGGCTCATTTTCTTCCTGTATTTAAAAAGCCAAATTGTTTAGATGCTACACATTATAAAGACACTTCTCATTAACTAAGTTTATGTAACAAATATTTATGTACAATCACCTGCTTATTTAAAACATCATTTTTTCCTTCTATGTGACATACCATATTTTTTATAAAACCTACTATAAATATTGGGTAAGTAATCTAGTTTAGACCCAGAGAGATTAATTTATTATGAAATTTCATCTCCTTAATAGTTATCAGTGTTTTTAAAGTTTCTTAGCAACTTGAATGTGCATTACATATAATTTTTTTTCTCAGTATCTTTAGAATAGGAAACAGTCACATGTAGATTATCTCCCCCATCAACAGGGACAAAAAAGTATTAGTGAGTATTAGTTTAAAAAGTAAGGGATTGCCGGGTGTGGTGGCACAGGCCTGTAATCTCAGCACTTGGGAGGCTGAGACAGGAGGATAGTTGCAAGTTCGAGGACAACCTGGGCTACAAAGTGAGCTCCAGGCCAGCCTGAACTGCATTGCGAGACCCTGTCTCAAAAAAAGACCAAAAAAAAAAGTAAGGGATTAAAGCTGGACGTGGTGGTACACGCTTGTAGTCCCAGCACTTGGGAGGCTGAGGTAGGAGGATCAGTAAATTTGAGGCCAGCTAGGGTTACATAGTGAGACGCTGTCTAAAAAAACAGGTAAGGGAGGAAGGATATACTTTTGTGGTAGAGCACTTGCATAGCATATATGAGGCCATAGGTTTGATCTGCAGCAATACACACAGACAGGCACACACAGACACAAACACCAAGAAATGATTAACAATGAATGCTGGGCACGGTGGCACATGCCTATAATCCTAGCACTCAGGGGGCTGAGGCAGGAGGACCGCTGCAAGTTGGAGGGCAACTTGGGCTACGTAGTGAGTTCAAGGCCAGCCTGAACTATATAGCAAGACCCTGTGTCAAAAAACAAGAAGCAAACAGAAACAGTATTTATTTATTTATTTATTTTGGTCTTTTTGAGACAGGGTCTCACTATGCAGTTCAGACTGGCCTTGAGCTCACTTTGTAGCCTAGGCTGGCCTCAAACTTGCAATGATCCTCCCGCCTCTGCCTCCTGAGTGCTGGGATTATAGGCATGAACCACCACACCCAGCCAAAAACAATGAGTAACAATACTCTCAGGCAACTAGAATAGTGTTACCTACCTAAATTTTTGAAATCTTTTTTTCGTTTTTGCATTTTAAAAATTTTATTGGTAGCCAGGCGTGGTGGCATATGCCTGTAATCCCAGCACTTGGGAGGCTGAGGCAGGAGGATCGTTGCGAGTTCAACACCAGCCTGGGCTACAAAGTGAGCTCAAGGCCAGCCTGAACTGCAGCCTGTCTCAAAAAGACAAAAAAAAATAAAAAAATAAAAATTTTATTGGTATATTTTAGATATAGATAACAATTACATTCCTCAAAGGGAATTTGTACCTGTGTATATCTTCCTTCTTTTTTTCCCCCATTTCCTTCCCCTCCCTTTAACCCCTCTTCCCCTCCATATTTACAAAAGCTTTGTTTCCATTTTTTCCTTCTAGTCCCTTTTTTCCTGTCCCTTCTTCCCTCTTCTCTTCCCCCTCCCTTATTCCCCTTCTCATTTGAGCATTTTCTTTCCATTTTGCAATCTATTTTTTGTTTGTTTTGGGTTTTTTGAGACAGGGTCTCACTATATTGCCCAGGCTGGTCTTGAACTCATGGTGGTCCTCCTGCCTCGGCCTCCTGAGTGCTGGGATTACAGGTGTGCACCACCCCACCTGGCTACTTCGCAATACCTATTATATATTTTGGTCCTTATTTATACTTTCAGTTTCTCATACCAGAGAAACAATGTGATATTTAAACATGTGTGTCTGATTTGCTTCACATAAGACTGTGGCCTCAACATGCATCCATTTAGCTAGAAATGTCTCCAGCTTATCCTTCTTTATGGCAGAGTAGTACTCCATTGTATGAAAAAAACCCGCATCTTTCACCATTTTTAAAAATTGTAAATACACATAAAATAAAATTTACAATCTGAACCATTTTTTTGTTGTTGTTTTTTTTGTTTTGTTTTGTTTTTTTTTTTTTTTGTTTTTCTCCGGTACCGGGATCTGAACCATTTTTAAGTGCAACTCAGTAAAGAGAAACTATGTTTCTATCGTCATGCAACTAATCTCCAGAACTTTTTCATTTTACAAATCTGAAATTCTATGTCGGTTATACAACTCTGCATTCCCTGTGTGCATTATACACTCTAGCACGTCCCTCAGCTTTTCTGCTCTCCCCAGACTGTCGTTGCAAACACATAGTGGTGCTTTAAGCTGATAGTTCAGTGTGGTTCGCGGAGAGGGATAAGGAGGCGTTGGCAGTTGAGATGAACCTTACGCTGCTCTTTTACGGGGGGTTTGAAGTGTTCACCCAGGGGTCGTGAGTATGCTGGGTGTCCGAGTGCTGCCATCCCCTGGAACTCTATTAGTTAATTTATTTATTTGGTAAATAGGCACCAGACACTTTCTAGATCTGGAGCTTAGGTGAGCCTTGCGCTAAGAATATGAAGAAGAGTGAAATTCCCTCCAGAGAGAAGCTTAGGGCTCAGCAGGGAAACACACAGAAAATGTGCACAGTGAGGACCTGGGGCTGAGTGCCCCTGCCCGAACCCTGTCTGATCAGTCCTGATGCGCTGAAGTGTGCTGCCGATGAGGAAGGCAAGCCAGGTGCCCGCATCAGGGTATCTGGACCCCTTCATCTGCCTGCCTTTCTTTCTTTCTTTCTTTCTTTCTTTCTTTCTTTCTTTCTTTCTTTCTTTCTTCCTTTCTTTCTTTTCTTTCTTTCTTCTTTCTTTCTTTTTTCTTTGTTTCTTTTTTGTTTCTTTCTTTTTCTTTGTCTCCTCCTTTCTTCTTTTCTTCCTTCCTTCCTTCCTTCCTTCCTCCCTTCCTTGTTGAGACAGGGTTGCTGTATAGTTCAGGCTGGCCTTGCACTCACACTGGTCCTCCTGCCTCAGCCTCTTGAGTGCTGGGATTACACCCATGTACCACCACACTTGGCTTATTTGCCTTTTTCTGATGGGACTTCTCCCCGTTTTTTGCTTCCTTAGCAGAACTCCCAGAAGCTGTGTCTTCCCCCTCGTGCCCCCAGCCTGGTTCAAGCTGGCCTGCACCCAAGAGGGCCTCCCAGTTTGCTCAGTGTAAGTATGCGGTGCACTTACAGCTTGCATTTGGTCCAGTGCAGAGAGGGGCTGTGAGAGCGTGCTGTACCCATTTCCCTGATGCAGAGCCCATGAATTTGCTCTCAGAACAGCTTCCTCCTTTGGAGCTCAGTCCAAAGGCAGAGAAGGTTGAGCTGCCCCTATGCCAGGCTCAGCCACACCCGTGAGCACTTCGATCCCGGACAGCCTATGAGCATCCACGCCAGTTACAGCCCACTGCCTGTTTCCCCATCTGCCTCGGTACTGCTGCCGTCCCATAGATCCTGGAGCCATGGGTTTGACTCCCAACAGCTCTGCTCATTATCTGCAGGAGCTGGGATGAGTACTAAGCTGGGATGAGTACTAAGCTCTGGCTTGACCCCAGCACTGTTGGTTTTTTTCCCTAAAGGAAGCAATATAAAATATACAAAATGTGTAAGATATAGCCGGGTGTGGTGGCACATGCCTGTAATCCCAGAACTCGGGAAGCTGAGGCAGGAGGATCCTTGTGAGTTTAAGGCCAGCCTGGGCTACAAAGTGAGCTCAAGGCCAGCCTGAACTGCGTAGTGAGACTTTGTCTCAAAAAGAAAAAAAAAAGTGTGCAAGATATGGACCATTCCCAGGAAGCTGAACTTTAATTGGAGGGATACAGACAAGGCATTGGATACTCACAGCGCTGGGATGTTGAGAACAGCAAGCGGCAGCTCTTCTGGGTGGGACTCGGAGAGAGCATCCTGACAGATAGAAAAGTCAGTTAGAAGGCAGGAGTGAGGTATTGTGTGTGCAGGGCCAAGTCCAAGTGGACACATGGATTTTATTTCCTGTATGAGTAAAACACCAGAAGATACAATGTTGCTTTTGCTGTTAGGGTAGATGATGAAAAGCTAACTTGGCTGTGTTCTTGTGCTGGTGTTTTCTCATCCCCAGGGGCCATCACGCCGACCTTTGACTTGGGGAGCCTGTCCTGCAGCCTGGAGGTCTCTAAGGACTGCCGGACAGTGACGGTGTCTCATTGCCAACAGAACTATCCCTGGAGTCCCCAGAGGTTTTCAGCCAGCCAGGTGTTCTGTTCCCAAGCCTTCTCCTCTGGGCGGCAGTACTGGGAAGTGGACACTCAGTATTGCAACGACTGGGCCGTTGGGGTGGCTTCCGGGGCCATGGCCCGGAACCGGATGCTGGGAAGGACTGTGGACTCCTGGTGTGTTGAATGGAAGGGGATTGGCAGGCTCTCTGTGTGGACCATGGCCAGGGAAACTGTCCTGGGATCAGACAGACCTGGGGTGGTGGGCGTCTGGCTGGACCTGGAGGAGGGGAAGCTCGCCTTCTACTCAGTGGCCAGTCAGGAGAGCCTTATGTATGAATGCGAGGTCTCGGCCTGCTCTCCCCTGCACCCTGCCTTCTGGCTGTTCGGCTTAAGGCGGGGAAATTCCCTGATCATAAAGCAAGCAAGGGTTTAAAGAGTCCTGGTCTCTCTCCCTGCCTTCAAGCAGGTTGGCAACTTGACTAAAGATCCTGCTTTGAAGTTAGCATACAGTTGTGGTTTTTTTTTTTTTTTTTTTTGGTACCAGGAATCGAACTCGACGTCAGGCTTGCCAGGCAAGCGCTTATGCCACTGAACTATATCCCCTGCCCTTTGCTTTTGAAGTTAATCATTTTGTGTGGTGCAGCATTAACTGAGCAGGCTTGAGGTTCTCAAAACCTGTGCATGTGGAAAAAACTAGCTCCAGACTGGCTCCCGGGAGATGAATTCTAAGCCCTTGGAAGATCTGGCCTGCTAAGAGCGACCTTGTTTACCTGGGACCTTTGGGCCTTAGAGAAGCACTTTGACCTCAGCAGAGGTTGGAGACTCAGTGAGCTCGTGGGCACTGGGCTGTGTCAACATGACTGACCCCCAGCAAAGCCTGGGAGAGGCCCCTTGTTGGCAAACTCCATTGCTGGGAGAACGAAGCCCTGTCCTCAGGACTCCCCTGGAGGAGGTTCACCTTGCACCCTGCTCTGCGTGCCTTCTTCCATTGCTGATTTTATTCTGTGGCCTTTCACTGTAATAAACCATAGCTGTGAGTTCAGTGAGTCCTTGTAGCGAATCATCAAACCTAGGGGTGGCCTCAGGGACCCCCAAATATAAGGAGCATGGTTTACTTATCAAAACAACACACATTGGCCTGTAATCCCAGCACTTGGGAGGCTGAGGCAGGAGGATCGTTGTGAGTTCGAGACCAGCCTGGGCTACAAAGTGAGCTCAAGGCCAGCCTTAACTGCATAGCGACACCCTGTCTCAGAAAGACCAACACCAACACCAACACACACTTATTATCTCAGTGTCTGGAGTCAGGGCAGAGTCTACAGTCTGCCTTTCACAAGCTGTGATGGACACATCAGCTGGGCCCCTGGTATAGTCTGAGGCTCAGCCAGGATAGCCTCTGCCCCCAGACCGGCAGGTGTTGGCGGTGCTCCTTTCCATGTGGGCTGCAGGGCCGAGCCACGGCGTCTTGCTGGCTGCGGGCTGGAGGTCGTCCTCGGTTCTTTACCTCACAGGCTTTCGCAGCACAGCTGTTTGCATCCTCAATGCCCAATGCCAACAAGGGCAAGAAAGTTTCCCAGCAAGTCGGACATGAAGTTGTATGTGATAATCACATAAACACCTGGGCAGGCATCCCATTGCCTTTGCCCTAATCTGATGGTTAGAAGCAAGTCATAGGTCACACCCACGCTCAAGGGGAGGGGACACGAAGGGGTGAGTACCTGGAGGTGAGGCACAGGGTGGCCATGGTAGTTTGGCACAGGGTGACATTTCCATACTGGATTTCTTCTTTTTTTTTTTTTTTTTTTTGTCTTTTTAAGACAGGGTTTCACTATTGCAATTTCTTCTCTTCTTAAAAGCCATTTTACTATATAACAAAACAGATACAGAAAGACTACACAAAACACATGTGAACCTTAAATACCGTTGAAACTACCATTCAGGTCAAAAAATAAAACCTACCACCAACCTCAAAAGCTCCTTCAGAGGCCCAAGCACAGAACCCTCCCTCTGTCCAAAAGCAATCCTGCCTTTCCCATTAATCATTTCCATGCCTTTCTCTAGAGCTGTGACAGTGGACCTTTTAACTCCTTTTTTCCCCCCTTGGTACCAGGAATTGAACTCAAGATCTTGCACTTGCCAGGCAGGCACTATGCCACTGAGCTATATATCCCCAGCCCCGACAGCGAACCTTTTAGAGCTTTCAGTGACATAAACAGCCAGGCTGTGGCACACCTGCCATGGGTCATCACCACTGCTCTACAGTCTCAGCACCCATTGTAATGGTTGATACATTGTGTCAATTTGAGAAGTTAGAAATTTAATGTAGCAACTCAGCAGGGGCCAGGGTCCTTACTGGGTAAACATCCTCATCCTGTGCAAGAGGAGGGGATAGAGATGGTGTGAGGGCTATACCCGCCCTGGGAGTGGGTAGCCTGCTTACAATATAAGCGGGGAAAAGAGGCTTGCTCTCCCCCCACCTTTTTGCTCTTGTTGCTTTCTCTGTCTTCTGCCACCTTGAACTGTTGCCCCTGTGCTATGCCACCCTGCCTTGGAGCCAGCTGATTATGGACTGAAACCTCCACAAACTGTGAGCTAAATAAACCTTTCCTTCCTTAATTTTGGGCATTGAATATTTTGTCTCAGCAATGAGAGAGAAGTGACCAAGACACCCATGTGTGCATCCATGGCTACAAAAACTGTCCCCCACCTTTTTTTTTTTTTTGTACTGGAGATTGAACCCAGGGCTTTGTGCATGTAAGGCACCCTATCACTGAGCTACATTCCGTTTTTTGTTTTATATGGGTGTTTCTTGGTTTGGTTTTGTTTTTGAGACAGGGTCTCGCTGCGTAGTTTAGGCTGGCCTTGAACTCGTGGCAATCCTTCTGCCTCAGCCTCCTGAGTGCTGGGATTATAGGTGTGTGCCACCACGCCTGGCTTCCCCAGTTATTTTATGAAATTTTATTTTGAGACAGAGTCCTACTAAATTGCCCAAGCTAGGCTTGAACTTGCAATCCTCCTGCCTCAGACTCATGGAGTAGCTGGGATTATAGGCATGTGTTACCACACCAGTTCAGTCTTGCCCAGTTTTAAAAAATTAGTATGCCTTTTAAAAACAGTTTTGTTCTGATATAATTGATATATTATAAAACTCACCGACTTAAAACCATATAAGCAAATGCTTTTTAGCATATTTCCAGAGTTGTGAAACCACCACCATAATCTAGCTTTTTCATTTTTATTTATTTATTTTTTTGAGATGGTGTCATTATGTTGTTCAGGATGGCCTTGAGCTCACTTTGTAGCCCAGGCTGGACTTGAACTTGCAATAATCCTCCTGCCTCAGCCTCCGGAGTGCTGGGATTACAGGTGTGTGCCACCATGCCCAGCTATCTAACTTTGGAGCTTTTTTTTTTTTTTTTTTTTTGTCTTTCTGAGACAAGGTCTCATGATGCAGTTCAGGCTGGCCTTGAGCTCACTTTATTGCCCAGGCTGTTCTCGAACTCTTAATGATCCTCCTGCCTCAGCCTCCCAAGTGCTGGGATTACAGGCATGCGCCACCATGCTGGGCTTTTTTGTATGTGTAGGGCTGCTGGGGATTGAACCCAGGGCCGTTGAGCATGCAGGCCCTGAAGCATTTTTATGGCCCTAGAAAGAACCCTCACCCCTTTTATCAGTTAGTAGGCCTTAAGTCTACTAATTTATGTGTCTCCCTATGCCTCCCTTTCTTTTCCTAGCAGTTTTTCTGTAGAAGGACCCCCCAGCTACATTAGCACTGGTGTTTTTTTTGTTCTTTGTTTTTTTGGGGGGTTTTTTTGGATTTAAACTTCTTTACTTCATTCTGGTATCTTCACACACCCAAGATAGTTACCTTATACAAAAACAGTTTATTCAAAAACAATTTTTCGTAGGTGATAAATTCTTCCCTTAAATGTAAATAAAATGGCACAGAAACTTCTAATAACCAAGATTCAGAAAATTCAAAACAACAATTTGAATTAGGAATCAAATATACAGTCAAAGACGGAAAAAAATCATCTAGAAGACAAAAATTCAAGTAGCATCTCAGATGCAGAGGCCAGGACCTGGCCTTTCACTTGATGCAGCATAGCTAGCTCTGAGGTTGGTGCTTTGTTTGTGGTCACTGCCATTAGTAAAAGTGCCTGGATTTTCTAAGCAGGGACAGGACTTTTCTCTGTGCCAGATGGCCACTAAAAGACTTTCAGGCTAGGGATGTAGCTCAGTGGTAGAGCACTTGCCTGGCATGTGCTATGCCCCGAATTCCCTGCCTTCACTTTGTGCTTTATAGAGCTTTTGTCTCACTCAGTGTCACCTTGATGTTTGCCTTGGTGCCAAAATCCAGAATTTAGAGAGCAGAGTTCCAGCCTCCTGGTGTCCTTTGGCTAAATACTGTGCTCTCAGGGGCGTTGGATAATGGGTTCTCTGTAGTAGTGGGGTTTATCTGCTGACCACATGATTTCTCTACACCAAAGCCAAAGCACAAGAATCACAAAGGTAGGGAGCAGAGGTTATCACGTTTGTTTTCCCTGCTATTGTCTCACTTTTGTGAGCATATCACAGCACACTGAGAAACAGCATCCTTCTCTCAGTCAAAACATAACATCTGCCAAAGAAGAAAAACCAAAAGCAAATGCCAGTGGATGAAGGACCTCTCACTTGGGTCTGTATTGTGTGTTGAGGAAATCATCCCCCTCCTGGACCAGCTTGAAAAGATGTACCTTGGGACTGTCTGAGTCTATTCGGGATACTGTAACAGAACACCGGGGGGCTGAGTAGTTTATAAACAAAGGAAATTTATTTCTTCCAGTCCGGAGGCTGAGAGGTCCAAGATCAAGATGCCAGCAGACTTGGTGTCTAGTTGGGGAACTCTCTAGTTTCTCTTTTTATAAGGGAACTAATCCCATTATGAAGGCTGCAATGCCATGACCTAATGAAAGTCCCCCTAATACCATCATACTGGGGGCTGGAATTCAGTATACACATTTTGTGGGGGACACAAATATTCTATATACAGGAGAGACACAAAAGCTCATGGGAAGAGCACCAGGGACTCCTTGGGCAACTTGCTGTCCTGGGAGATATTTCTCTGCGCCAGGGATATAGCTCAGCGGCACAAGTGCCTGCCTGGCAAGCTCAAGGTCCTGAGTTCGATTCCTCGTACAAAAAAAAAAGATTTCTCTGCAAAACTTTTTTTTTGGGTCACTTGTCTCTGTGAAGTGCTTTTTCCCTGGGGGGTGGGGGGTCGTGGAGTGGCCCTGTCAGTGACATTGTGCCCTCTTTGTGTCTGCCCTTCAGTCTTCCTCACACTCCTCCCTGGTGAGGCAGCTCCTGGAGAGTACTTCTGTGCTCATGACTGGGGCTCAGGCCTTTGGACTAAGGAGCAAGCCACCAGCTTCTTAGGACTGAGGCAACCCCTAGTACAGTTACGTCCATCAATCCTCCTTCAAGGACGCTGCTCTTCTGGCAAAGTTGAAGTTGAAGATTTTATTTCCTAGCTGACTTCCAAAACAAATGTACTGGAGTTCCCACATTTTTTTTCCCTTTACCACTTCGGTATCAGTTAGGCACCAAACAGTGCCGTTCTCAGGGGAAATTTCTCAGGCCCTCTTGTTCTGGTCAAGCTCTGGGCTGAGGGTGTAGCTCGGTGGTCAAGTGCTTGTCCAGCATGTCCCAGGCCTTTTGCATTACAAAAAGTAAATGAATGAATATATGCATTTTTTTTTTTATGGTCCTGGGGATTGAACTCAGGGCCTTGTGCATGCTAGGCAAGCACTCTACCACTGAGCTACACCTCCCCACAAGTCCATTTTTTTGTCTTTTTGAGACAACTGACTTTTAGCAGTGGTTCCGATTCTTTCATAGCCAGCGCTGTCTTCCTTTTCTACTCCGTCAACCTCGTTCACCTTTATTCTGCAGAATGAATATCCCCCAGGAGACAGAACCTCCCGGCCTTGAGAAGTGACGATGTCCAGGACACAGTCTTTGGGGTTCCCATGATTTGTTTTTTTTTCACCAGCTTTCATA